ATTATGTTTTTATCTGTTAAGATAAACGGGTTCCCTCTGGAAGGGTTTCATTTCAATAACATTAGTACACAGCGTGTTTTAATTGAAATATAAATGATAACTTTTCGTTGTTCTATTTTTATGTCATGATGGTCGTTCCACTTATATCGCCTCTGTAAAAATTAACCAAAGTATGTAGAGATTAAGATTAACACACTAATATCATTGAATAAGTATTATTACTTATTCAATGCTAATATACAGGGTGCCCATTATGGATGGAATATCGTATATATCTCGATAATATCGAATGTATACAAAATTTTTCTATATGAAAGTTGTTTAACATTTTATTTCCTTATAATAAGGAAGCATTCAGTTGTTTTTATTTCAGAAAACAAATGAGTAACGAAAAACAATTGAATTTTTTTAAATGGTAGTGCCTCTTTCATTATGCTCATTTGATAGAGATTTTCTTTCTCTTTTCGATGATATAACATTTTAGCCAATTTTTTCAAAAAAAGTTGTAATTTGATCACTAACATTAATCCAGATATCCTACATCAAAATAAAACAAATGAACGTGTACGTTCTTATTAAACCTTGAAGACAAAACGAAATTAGCAGTAAAATGGTTTTCCATGGTGTTTTAGTCCGGCATTTAGTCCGGGTGAGGGGCGCTTTTTTAAATATTCACATTTCCAAACTTTCTATCGCCTTTCCAAATCCATGTATGCCCGTTTGAACTGAAGAAAGCGATCTGGGCGTAGGAAACAGTACAAAGGGCGTTGAAAGATCTGAAATTGGTTAAAAATTTGAAACCACGTGCCAGAATGCTCTTTGGGAGGAGCCCATAAAATTAAATGAAAACTTCATGGGGAATATAATCCGTTTATTTAATAATTGGAACCCCATTTCGAGCCAGGATGGACAACAAAAGCCCATAAAACCCTAGCTCTGAATAGGTAAAAAGTTCCAAAAACCTCCGACAATTGGTAGGGTGCATTTCGAACGTTCTGAATTTAATTGCTTTGTAAAGCCTCATGCTCTACTACACAGAGGCAATTTCGTTGCTACGGCACTGACAGACAAAGAACTGAAAGATTAAATTTAAAAAATAGCTCCTATTTCTGAAAAAGGACAGGAGATCGGAAAATGGCTCAAAAAAGTATTTATTTAAAAGTCAAACTGAATCCTTCAGTTACCAAATCTTTCGAAAATACAAGCTGCAGAGCCTTGTTACCTTTCACATCTCACTCTACAGCCCAATTTTGACCAATTACGATTGAATTTGGCTTCTCGGTTTTAAGACTCATCATGTAAAATGATTTGGGGGTGAGAGAGAGGAAACCCAGTCACAAATGCAGATGTACAACTGATCTGATCTGATCACAGCATCAATAATCTTCCTGAGCACTTCACAACCATTTCGTAATAAATCAACAGCAGCATAAAGGTATGTTTTTGGCGCTATGATTCATAAACTCACACAGTTTAGTCATATTCATGGTCTCCTTTTGAAATTTTAATTGTCGAGATCCTCTCAGTCATGGCCTTTAACCACCCTCGTATACTTTCGCACGAAGATTGCCAAACATGACGATGATGATTTGATTGCTCTGCTGGACGGGTAGGTACATTCCTCCATTGTCTTAATGACAATGGAGTGTGCGTGTGTGGAATCACATTTAACAACTCTAAATCCATTCCAAATGCATCCTAAAGCACAGTATTCTTGGAAACGTAAAAACAAACAATAATCTAAACTACCGAGCCATATTGGACTATAAAAGCTGCCCCCGACAAAGAAGTAATAGTTGAGCCTTGTCACCATAAACAACATTAGGTAAATTGTTTGAAAAAGAAATGTAGGATATTACAATACTAACAACCACTTTTTATTCACTAAACGAAGTAAATTACTAAAATACGCTCGTAAATCCATTCACTTTCTTCTCTATCTTCGTGTATATCAACGCCATACGATTCACATAAAAATAAAAAAATTCAAATTAAAGTGGAACAGGAATTCCTTTGTAGACGTTATTATACATTTGATAATTGCGCCTTAACTTCGCAGTAGGAATTTATTAATAAGAGAGATATTATATAAAAAAAAGGAAAGTAGGTACATTAGAGGGACGAGATAAATATCTCGCCAGTAATTATGAAATAAGTTGGGGTGAAGTTCATTTAAGAGTCTGAATGTTAAAAAATAAGAATTATTGGGTTAGTTCCATCGCTTTGAAGGCTCTTAATAAAGTTAAATAGGGTTAATCTACAGGCTAAAACGTTGAAGTAAAGTAAAGTACAAATTTTATTTTCCAAATGAAATTTTGTAGTGGTTTGTCGGATCGGTCTAATAAATGCGTATACGTAATTTTCCTTCATTTCGTTCAAATTTCGTAGTTAATTTCGACTTCGTTTTGGCGATAAAGTGCTTGCTTGTGTTTTTATCTTATTTCTTTCATTTTATGGTATTATTAAGTATTAAAAATCTATCGATTCGAACGCGATTCTTTTATGTCGTATATTTGGATCGTCATGAAATCCTTTGGATTTATTAATTTAGTAGTTTAGTAGTATGCGGATGATATATGCATACTAATAATCGCCAAATTTGAGACTACTGTATGCAGAGTGGTGCAATCAGCTCTTAGTGTTCATACGACTTTAGTTTACCCTGAGATTCACATACCCACGACTACAGTGCCCTCTATCCGTAACCACCTATGTTTTATTGAAAGCATAGGGCTAATAGCAGTCCATGTACTACTCGTATATTATGGTCTAAGGCTAAATTGCATTAACATAAATTATTATTTGTTTCTGGATACAAGACCATGAATAGCCACTGAATGTCGATTTTCGTGTAGCAACTGGAAGATTTTTACATTCCAGATACCAGAGGTTTCAAAGCTCGAATAGGATTTTAATGCATTTTGCGAAATGGAAAACGTATAGTTATTGTGGTCAATTCGTAGTCCGCACGTTTTCACGTTCCCTAAACTCAGAGTTGGGCTAAATAGTAAATACTTTAGAAAATCAAAAGTATTTGAATACTTATACTAAATACTTTGAAAAGTATTCAAATACAGTAAAAAGTATTCAAATACTTGTCACTCAAATACTTTAAAAATTTAAAATAGTACCTACTACATATAGCAGGTACCAGGCCCTCCGGACCTCTCTTATATCAGTTATATTCTTAAGAACACGTGTACCAGTTTTCAAAGCGATCGTACGTCGTACACCTTTCTGAAATTAATCCTAGCGATTTTGAAATACATCCTTTTCTGTCCGTCCGTCTGTCCGTGTGCACGATAACTTTAGAAACATGCGATCGCTTTGAAAATTGGAACACATGGCCTTAAGGATATAAGAAAGGTCCCTATTGTTTTTAAGTTACGGAGACTATTGGGTCAAAAAGTTTCACTCCAGGATCGTTCGGTATTCAGCTGTATCGGATTTTTATATTTGATTTTGTGATAATGGAAACTTCCCCTAAACATTTCTAAATAGTTCTCAAATATTTGAATAACTTAAACTTAAAGGTGCGAAGTATTCGAATATCTTGAGAAGTATTTGAATACTTTGCGAAGTATTCGAATACTAAATATTTGCGAAAGTATTTGAGTTACAAATACAAATACTGCTTCCATAAAAGTATTTAATTACAAAGTAGGTATTTGAATACTAAAAAGTATTTGAATACTAAAAAGTATTTGAATACTAAAAAGTATTTACAAAATCGAATACTGCCCAGCTCTGCCTAAACTATTTGTTACTGAAAAGTTCGAACTGAAATATTTGTAATCGAATAATTAGGAGTTAAAGGGAATAAGGAAAAGAGGACGTGCGCCTAAACAATTTTTTAATTTATAAATTACTTGAAGCGTTATTTATTATCACCGAACGACGAATTTGTCAATATTTTATACAGCATATTGGAATTTAAGTAGGTAATTATGCTTGTTATTTGCTGGTATATTAGGTCATAGATGTTCAAGCAAACTGGACAAAGTAGATGAACCCGTCACTGAACAGTTGGCAATAAAATGCGGTTTAAGTGGTAAGCCGAAATAGTCAAATTGAATAACCGCATATTTGCATAAATGGTTTCAACTCGATTTTCATAGTTGCACGATGTGCTTATTGAGTAATTGAAATTGTATTTAAATTAATTGGGCAATAAACGCGACTATTACAAGAGGTTTTGATGAGAAAAAAAAACATTTCCAGCTGTCTAGACTAGAAACTCTGTTTCCCAAACGCAATTTCGCACAAATACCTGTAATACAATCTCCACCGTGATATTAGTATTGATCACGCAATAGAAAATACCAACACGAATGAACAGAGTAGGAACGTGCCAATTGTTGAAAATCTTAATTAACTCCCCAAATGGAAAAAAAACTCAATTTCTCAGCGGCCCCCCCTTTCTTTGCTTTAAAGGGTTGGGTTACAACAATTAACGACGTTATCAAACCCTCATCTGTTAGTTATACTGGTTAACCGCTTAATTACTAACTTGCAGATCTTGGAAGTTCGGCACGTATATTATTTTATAATGATGTTTACCTTAAGCGTAATTTTTGATTTTAATGAGTCGCGGCTACCCTTCCCTACCCGTTGAAAACCCCCGCGCGCGTAGCTTGTTTCAATAAAATGCGGTTGTAAAATATTTGTGTCACGTGCGGATATAGTTACAGCTCGTTCCTTTGGGACTTATGGAATTAGCCCGTCTGTTTGTACCACGTTTAATCCGTTAACTCGATTTACAAAAAATACGTTTAGATACCGATGTCTATCACTATTCGCATTACAGTCAATTATCGGCGTTTTGCGAGGAACGGGCGAGTTAAATATCACAAAGTAGGTTAATTGGGGATTTTGAATCCTTAATTCTAGAGCTCTTGTTGCGTTAATGTACTTAATAAACTTGAAATCCTATATTTTAGATAAATCTTTTGATTACATTGGCCTTGTTTTCCAAATTCAATTACAGCATGAACCTCTTTAACTCGATCTCGCATCAACGATTAAGGTGGTAATTAGAAAACGTCAACGAGTTTTATTTCAAAATCAACACAGACTATAAAGAAGAATATTCCCGTTTTGATGGTGGGCGGAGATGATCGGGTAACTCACTGGGTAGATCGTTACCTTCAAGTTTAACATTGATGAGGTGCATCGCCAAGGCGAATTCGTCTTTGTCCAAGAAGCCGTCGCGATCAACATCGGCCAGTTTCCAAATCTTACCCAGGACTTGATTGGGCAACTTGGATTTCACCATCTCCACTTTGGCAATGGACCCAGGGAGTTTGCTGCCGTTCTCGCACAAAGCGTCGAAGATGTTGTCGTAATTTCCGCGCTCTTTATTGACAACCCATTCTGGATCTCCGAGCCCCGCGTTAACACCTTCGCCGCGTTGGTAACCGAAGGGAGACACCCTATCCTCAACCCCCTCAAAAATTCCACCCGTCAGTTTGCAGTCATCCAACACCGTTTCGTCGTGTGGGATCATCGCCATTAACTGCGATATATCTTCGGATAACATTTTATCGACGCTTTCCAGCAGGCGCGCTTTGAAGTGGCGCAACTTTGAAAAGTCATATCTCGAAAGCGAGTCTTGCATTTTACACAGATCGGGAAAGTCGCCGACTGATATTCCATGCTCGTGCTGTATTCTTTGGTAGATTTCCGCCAAATTAAAAATCAGATCGCGCTTCTTGCTCTCTTTTCCAAACATAGGAATTTCTTTGTGTAACTCCGAAATTATGTATGCGTGCACTTTAGCGAGACGTGCTCGCTTAATCAAATCGTTGAGCTTCCTTAAAACGGAGTTCTTTGGTAGACTTTGCAAGTCCTTGAATAGATCTTGGCATTCGTCTTCAAAGAGCTTACGATTGATGTCAAATCTCAGCGGTTGATCCCAGAAGGAACCGATATATACGCGTGCAACTTCGGGAGTTTGTAATACTTTTCCCAGCGACCACATCAAGGCGCCGTAAACTCGCATGAGCTGCTGGTGGTCAATCATATCGGCTTTGTTTAAAACTATTCGTATCTTATCGTCGTGTCCTCTTAAGGCTTCAATTGATCTTCTAAACTCGTCGGATATATCCAGTTTGTGTGCGTCGAACAGTAAAATAATTCGATCGACCCTTTCAGCGAACCACTCTAAAACGCCTGTAAAGTCGTATCCGCGATCAATTCGCTGTTTTTCACCGGCGAGTATTCCTGGCGTGTCTATAATAGAAATTCCGCGTAAAACTGCCGATTTCGTCAACGAGCACTGAAATCTGTTTAGGAACGCGTTGCCGAATTTCGAGAGAGGACGAAACTGCTTTTTGGGATCAACTACTAAAGCGTTACCTGGTATAATTCCTTCTTTTTCCGCGTACATGACGGCGCTAAACTTATCCGTCGTTGGCTCGGGACCAATACGAATTCCTGGAAAATCGCGCTCGAGTAGATATTTTATAAAGGTGGTTTTGCCGGTCGAGTATTGTCCGACGAGTAAAATTAAAGGTTTAGCGTCAAAATCAGGATCGTTTAGCTGCGGCGAGTGAAATTCGTGAAATGCGTAGTATTCCTCTAAAGGTAATAATTTGCTTTTGTAAATCTTCTTTAAACCTTCGAGCACATTCTCGAACACTTCCTGCTTCTCTTCTGCCTCACGTTTGAGCCAACTGAACATGTTTACAAATTTACGCTAACCATACCCATAATTTGAAATGACACTGTCAGACTAACGTTTACTTTTTTTCCAAAGCAACTAGTACCTTTTAGATTTTCATTCAAATTGATAGCGACGTTCGGGATTTGCAACATCTGCATTATACTTGTACGTCCATCTTAATTTTAAGATCAAAGCCAAGCGCGTTGAAGAGCCGCTTTTATAACCAATCACGTAAAAAGTTATTTACGTTGATTTAACTTTATACGAAATATCGGTGTGGATCCGTTGAAATGAGCTGGCAGATATCAGAAAATATGAGGAGTGAAAATGTAAGCCTACTCCTCCTGCTTTTTCTCATCTTGCAAATAACTTCCGATTCACAAGCGTTGCTTTTATGCCAAAACCGTTTTCATTAATGTCGTTATTGGTGCACTTAATTATCTCATATAGAGTGGATAATCGTATTCCAGCTATGGTTTCGCACTAGCAATTATTATTCAACGCAATAATAATTTTCAGTGCGACACCTTTTATTATTAAACAAATTTAAATATAGGCCCGTGATGTACTTACACGAGCTTAGCCCCCACACCTCTAGTAAGCACTATAATTCGCATTTTTACGTTTATTTTGAGCAGTTCCTGATAGATTTTTGATATTGAGGGATACACGTTGAACAATCATTAATTTCAATTCAGCAAAAACCTACCCTAGCCTTCGACAATGATAAGAAAGAGATCGCACAAATTTCCTGAAAAGTGGAAAATTTGCCTGATAGGTATCCTCGCACGATTAAGGAGTTGTGGCTAGGTGCACCGTCTTGTTGAAACCAACAATTTCCAACTTTTGTTTTATTTGTGCAATATTATATTTGTAATAACAATAATAACAACCCTTTATTTGCTCAACAGAAAGACATAGCCTTTCCAAAATAGTCAATACAGTAAGCACTTGTTTTACAGACCATATAAGAAAATAAAGTTGATGATTGCTCCAAAACGAAACGTTGTATTGAAAATCTCTCAACACTGTCTTATACAGCCCAAATAGTGCCAATGTGAAGGTGGTTTTTATTTTTTTGTATCTGTCCAAATACGATCAGAAAAAAATAAAAACGATATCGGCAAATTTCGGTTTTTTTGGCATATTTTCGGAAGTAATCGGAATTTTCTGGTTTTCATTTACAGCTAGATTTACAGTATTAATTACGCAACTTTTCTCTAATTTGACCATCTCCGTATCTTCTATGATTTCCAAGATCTCCATGATAGACATCCTTATCCTGGACAGTGTATATGGCGACCTCTCCAATTTCTATCCAGGAATAATTTGGACGCCCATCTTCAGCAATAACTCACTCATACGTAATGGCGGTGTTCTATCCCCGAAAATTTCTTTCAAATTGTATTAGGACAAACACGCAATATTGTTTTTTTAAATCTGGACCCTAAACGGGTCTCTCCGTAATGAAGAAACTAATCTTCTCTTTTTTTAATCGACCTCATCGATTATCTCTGAAAATGGCGATACCTAATTTTTTATTGGTTAGTGTATTTCTTATTACCAATCACAGACGGCTGTTAAAGGTCTCACCCAAATCCAAAAACAACACGATCAGCAAGTTCCACGGTAAGGGGATATCTCATGATAAGTTCACTAATGTAATACTATATCTTCATATCTTGACTCCGCAAGCATTAATGAACAAACGTTCATATAAATAAATAGGTTGAAATGACATATTCCGCAATCAACCAGATCAATTCCTTCCATCAATTAAGACCAACATTTGTTTGGGAAGACACTGTAGAAGTGCCTTGACATTTTTTCACAGATTACAAATTCTACTCGTATTTTACGGATGTTTATAAGAAAATTCAAAAATTTAAATCTAAACTTAAATGCTCGCGTTGCAACCTTCTGTCACAAATTATTGGACACACTTTCTCTAATAAAACACAACTCATGTACTTATTATTATACAGGGTGCTTGTTACAGACCTCTAGGAAGCACTTTTAAAATAATTTTTATTCTTTTGGTTACTCAAAATGCACCATTGTCAGATTTCAGTTCAGATTTTTAACAACTGACCAGTTCACATTCTCTCAATTTAAGCTTAAATTCAACTTTCATCAATGTGCGAATGCAGAAATTTCCAAAAATACAATATCTAATTTCGCAAAATAAATAGCAAACAAGTAAATTTGGGAGTTGTAGAAACAGCATTTCGCGTGCTTTTAAATAAAAATGGATCTATGACAACCAAAATTTTACTTTACTTTTACTGAATTAAACAACCTTATTAATTAATTACAATTTAGAAATATATACATACCGTATTTCTAGATATCTTTGATTTTTTTCTATTAAGTGCAGTTAGCGATAAGGTTTCTATCTCAATCGGTCTTAAGTTTAACGATTTCACTAATCAAAATATTAATTGAATTGAAATGCACGAATACACTGCTGCGGCTCCATAATCTATTTACGCTTATACGCATTTGTAAAGATTTATGTTACAATTGAATATAAAGCATAATCTTTTAATTAGTTTTCTCGGGCAAGTTGTAATTAATTAGCTTGTATTTTTAAGCCAAGTCTAGCTGATTCGTTATCGAAGATTAATAATTTTGTATGTACGATGTCTACTTATCTACTCTTTATCACAGCGCAATGTAGATACCCATTTTAAGGAAGAAAGATGTCATTTTAGTACAGAAGTTGGTATATAGGCAAATGTACCTATACGGAACAGCAGAGACCATTTTGCAAAGTTTTAATTTTGAGTAAATTACGCCACATTTACCAAAACTGATTTATTCAGAACCATAATGGTATTATATGAAAATACATAGTGAGACAAAATCCTTGTACCTGCAATGATTTAAGACCAAGTGAATAATAGTACAGGTCAAGAAGTTCATGTTGCTTTTGTTATTCATTGTATGCCAATTATCAAATTTCCCGCTGTTATTTATTTAACCCCAAATAATTTTTGAAATTAGGTGTAAAATCGACACAGTAAACATTACGTCAAACGTAAAATAGAAATATGTACTTAGTTATTCTCAACTCTATTCAACACATTAAAATTTCAAATATTGAAATGACCGCTGGGATTTCATTTTTAAATTTAAAAAAGAATGAATTCATCTCTCTATCCTTAGAAATTCATCAAATACACTGTCTTGTAATTTCAAAAAATAACTAACCTGTTTTCTTTGACAATCATTTTCCCCGTTTATCCACCATAGAGCATGAACACGATGCAAATCACACCAGCAGGAACTCCCCGGGCAAACTACTAATCTTGTCGATTGTCCACCTTCATCTTTTTACTTTTCCGTACCGAACTGTACTGAACCGTATCAGGTTACATTTTATTAAAACCAACAGCTGAGGCGTAAGTTAGAACGCTTGGAATTTTAGTGGGCATCATCCATATTTTATTAATCTCTGGCAATTGGATTCATTAAATTGGGGATTCTAGAAAAATTAGTGAACGGATTCATCTTTAACTCCGTAGAGAGGATATAATTTGCGTTGTTTCTTCCTTATCATAGGTACCGTCATTTTCATCTCCTTTGCTGGAAGTGTACTGGAAGTATTCAATATCTCTGGACTGTTTGGTTTTATCAACAGGCTATCCAGTAGGCAGAGAACCAGATTTTAAGTTCCTGAAGTAGTCCAAATGGTAACGCACGTGACCGCGTAGATCGAGTTCGCACAATTCTTACACTGACTGTACTTTGGATATAAGCCAGTCTTTGTCATTTTCCATTTCAAAAATTACAATTTTTTTTTTAACAAAAGCAACTTTTGCATGTTTACTGTGAGGCCTTTAATTTTTGTGGTACTTCAAATATTTTTGCTTCAGTGTTTGGTTTTATTTACAAGGTCTGCAAACCACCCTTTAAGTGAACATAGCCCTACCCCGTTTAAAAAATTAGAATTTTTTGTAAATAAAAACGCAAACGGTATTATGGGTTATAGGGTTGCATTTTTGCAATTCTTTTAATTTCTGTAGATGCTATCTGATCATTCCGTGTTAATCTTAAATATGGTTTTACAATTACAATTTTCTTCGGGTTTGCATATCATTTTTCGGCTATTAATTTTTTGGTATCCACTTAATTTAATTCCTGGCGTGAATTTTATCCGAAAATCGTTGATTTCTTAATATTTAGAGGCAACCAGTTGATATTTTTTTGCTTGGGATACTGTCAAAATCGCAGTGTTTCATTAGAGTTGAATAAATAGGAAATGCACCTGTATAATATACTACTGGGATTATCGTAATATAGTTACGATTTAGATACAAATGCTTATTAAAACTGTAAAGTAACTAACTTCATTGCAAATTACAAGGGTAATTGGATATAACAGGATTATAGAATCGGATAATTGTTTGAATTTCCAAGGGTATAGACTAGAATTCAATATTTTAACTTTAATTCTAAGTTGGACATGGTTGAAAATATCGACATATTTTAATTGGCACTAATCGTATTAAAACTTTAATAAATGGCAGGACGTGGCCTATGAAAGTAACTAATTTTAAAAATTAAATTTAAGGCTTGTTTAATGTTTAGGTATTTGGAAGATCAATTACAAAAAAATGTTTCTAGATTAAATGCAAAAAGATCGTGTACCTACTATACGACTTTGAAAATTATGATCGTAATGAAGTCTCAAATCTGAATTAAGAAATTAGCACCAAAATCGTCGATATACCTAATTTGCTTTCCCTACAAATTGGAGAACGTGAAAAACTCGCTTTCGGGCGAATCTACCCGCTTCCTTCGTGAAATCTTTGTGTTTAAGGCCTGCTAGCAATAAAGGTCTTTTTATGACCAGAGTACGAACATAAATAACTATTATCTGACCTTCAATAAAAGTCGGCAGTTAATGAACAACAATAATATTTATTGATAGTAAAGACTTAAAGACACGGTGCCATTCAATTCATAATATTTAATGAAGTGATAATTAATACTGAGCTCATCAAAATATGATTTTTTCTTTCCCTTTAGTCGTCTACTTTTAATGGCCATTTTATGAATATAGT